GTCCAAGCGGTCCTTCGGGAAACAAAAGCGCTCGTTTGGCCGCATTATAATACAACGACAGTAAACATATCCCGCAACTTAAAATCGCGCTGCTTTGCAATTCCGCTCTGCACCTCGAATTTTTACATAATCGCGTTTCAAAGCCGGATAATATTTATACGATAATTGAGCCGGCCACGCCGTGCACGATAATGCACGCGCATTATGGAAATGTGTAAACGCGGTGCTTTGATCATTTTCTGCGTTCGTCGGATTTTCTAGCCTACATTTTTTCCTTTCGATAATTTAACAACCTTTCATCTGACATTTCTTTTTTCTAATTGCGCATAAAATGTTCGTGAGAAATAACGAACACACGGACATTCTGTAATTAATATTTTTGCGACTAAAGCAATCTAAGTGGAAATTGAAGTGAACTTAGACGTTGTTTGAACGTTTGAAGGGAACTGAACGATAGCATTAGAGCGAATTCTTTTTCGACGAAAAATTGCGACGTACGTAACCTAACCTAACTTTGCAACAAAGAATTTGAAGCTTTCGAAAATTTGTAATATATACGTAATCAACGAATAATATGAATAAACGAAGATCAAAATTGCACATACCATGCCAAGAAGAAGCTCCAACAAAACGTCGCATTCTTGCAGCATACAATTCGTTATTTTTCCAAAAACTGCCAACGTATGTTTTCCATGTTCACACATACGTCACACTCAATCTCCACACAAACCATATCAAACTTGCTTATTCTTGCACCCACATAATCCACACACTTTTCATTCCTCCACACTTTCTTCAAAACATCACACCTAAATTCACGTTCACAAAAATTCCATTAATCTGTCGATCTCACTGGACGCGCCATCGACCGACTATCGAGTGATCCCCTTAACCTAAAACACGTCATAAAATACGCGGCAACGACGACGAAACGATATTAGAGTCGACGGAGACCAAGACTATATTGGCGGTTGTAGTGTAAGCTCGCATAAAGAATCACGGGTCCACGAGACGTCTTTGAACCGGCCATTATGGAGATTCATAGGAAGTATTATGCGTTACATTATGCGTATGCAGAGACGGGATTACGTGTTGCAGCGCGCGCACGCCCGCGCATGCGCAGACCGAAACGCGAGCAAGCAAGGCGAAAACATTCGGTTAATAGGCATTATTATCTGCGCACCGGTTTCGCCGGTCAAAATTCGCGCGCCCAGTCGCAGTTTAGTCTCATTTACATTGTTAATAGAATCATTATTAGGTTATCGTGGCGATTTATCCGGCTAATTGGAAGCTGTTGCACCATCCGTCGAGCCCCGAAGAAAAAATGCGTCTTCAGGGCAGCCTTTCGAGCGCCGGTTTTAACACCGGCCCGGGGAATATTCCAACGTTATTATCCCGCTGATACAGCAGCCTGCGAAATCATAGAGCAGCGGAGCGGGCGCGCTTGCTGCTCGATTAAAAAAAAGTTAATCGTCGAGTAGCGCAATAATTACTTTCGCCCTGGCTCTGCCCTGACCGCGCGAATCAACTTGCTCGAGGAGGGAGTATTTGGGCAACGATTACTCCTCCGATGGAAATTTATGCATATTTTTTATTGATTTTTTCTTTTGTTTCTTTTACTGCGGCGATGAGAAAACGAAGTTGACGTAGAAGATGAGCTTTTGAAATTTATGGCGGGTTCTGTGGTTGGAATTGAAACGAGGACTTCTTGTGGAAGTTGGGAGTACTTCAAATAGTAAATATATTTCGAAGATACAAAATGAAGCAAATTCTTCGAAAATAACGCGAAAATCATTCCAACGAAATTTTATAAAAATATGTTTGCAACAGCAGAAAAAGTAACGTGTAATTGAAATTTAGAAAGAGCAGTTCCTCTTGGACTATCTTTAGTATGAATTTTTTCGCAATATTTCTTAACGAAGAATTAGCAATTCCCAATTGCCCTGGCGTGTCATATGTAATTTCATTTCGAAAACTCGCGGACCACCGCGATCTTCTACGAATCAGCAGCATGAAAAGGCGTCTGCCATTAAATTCGTCATCCCGTCAAGGATCCTGTATATGCTCGCCTTCTTGGTAATTTACATCCCGACAAAAAATCCCCGACACCTTAAAAACTCCCAACGTCGTTTACTCCTCATTTTCGAGCAACCCGACCCCGTCGATTCACGCGGCAGCTTGCCTGAAAATTTCGTCGAACCCCTTCAATCGAGCGACTAGCGTTCTTCACGTTTAACGAGTCACTCTAACGCGAAATTCGATCGAAACGAAAGGAACAATCATTTTCTCGATACCTAAACGTGTCTAATATTATCAAAAAAAAAATCGTGGCGTATTTTTCAAATATTTTTGCAAACCCAAATTTAAAGTAACACTCGCAAATCCTACTTTCACCTTCACAGTTAGTGCTACGCACTCCAAAAAAGTTCACCGCTTATTTCTACCGTAAAACACCCTCCCTCGGTAAAAAATAAATCAGAAAAGAAAAGAACAAGGGAAAGAACCCGATACTAAAGAAAAGAGCAAGACGAAGAGAAAGAAAGAAGGAGGAAGTGGACGGACGAAAAGACAGATGCATTCAGACTAAGTGCTAGCATACCTTTCGAAAGCGTAGTGTCTCTCGTCAAATCTGTAACACATAAACAAGCATCGTCACTAGAGAGCATTGGTGCGGGACAAAGCGCAAGGGGTCATTGGATTAGAAAAAAACCATTGTGCGTTTACGGTCGACCCGTTTTATAAACTAGTTCCGACCAGCCTTTCCAGCGTGGAAGAGAGAAAGAGGAAACGAAGAGAGAGAGAGAGAGAGAGGGGAGAGATCGGTGGACAGAGGCGAAGAGAAACAGAAGAAAAAAAGAAAAAAGAGGAGAGAAAGAAGGCAGGGGGTGGAGAACAAAGTGAAGGGTAGCTGGATGGAGATTCAGGTGGATAAAAAGTGGAAGAGAGAAAGAGAGAAGAACCGCGAAGATTATTTGAGCCGGTAGACGGGTAGTTTGGTGCACATAAGTAGTTATACCTATAAGTAGACATAATCATCACCAGCGTAGGTAGGCAGACGGGTAAGGTTAATTTCCAAACCCCGTATTATGGTCCCCGAATCAACTTTTCCATAGTATAATAAGCAATTTTATGACGTGCACTCGTAATTATATTGAGATTAGATAAGACCGGCCCCGTTTAGTTTGCAGCCTCCTAGCCTGCATGGCCATTGTCCAAGTAGAAAAATTTAGACCTGTACAGGTGTGCCTGTGTACGTGTACGTGTGATTTGGTGCAGTTTTACGAGACGTCTGTGTCGTCACGATTTTGATTACACCTTCGTTGCACCGGGGGAGATTAAACGGTCTATGTTAATTCTAGTATTAAACGTTGCAAAATTTACACGGGAAGATTAACCTCGTCAGATATGAAAGTATTCAAGGAGTGAATTTTTATTTTTGTAATTTTTATTTATGGGTTGGATGTGTGTGTTCAGTTGGTTTTTATTAAACTTGAAATTTAACAAGTGGATTTATTGGGAACGCAATTTGTGTGCTGTCTCTGCATCGTGAGAGAAGAAGAGATTAAAGAAGAAGGAGAAAGTGGATTTTCTAATATATTCGAAATTTTACAAACTTATTCAAATCCTCCTGATCGATGATTTATGTTCTTCTCCGGAAATATTACGAATGTCACTTAACATTATAAAGAAAGACGCTAAAGGAGAAGGTAAATTTAACAGATCTTCTATGACAAAAAAAGTTCCTACTGCGTTATCGGTATGTCTGTCCCAAAATGAATCACCAAGTCCTATGAATTCGCTAAAAAATTAAATTTCTCTCCGCATATATTCAAGCCCACAAGAATATCAAACACCCGATACTTCCAAGACTTAACCAACAAATTGAACGAAATTTAAACAATCTTCCGCAACTAACAAACTCACTTTTCCTCCACACATATATTCAACTCCACGAAAACATCAAACACCGTTCCCCGATAAAAACCAACAGGACGAAAAACACGAAATGCCAAAACCCCAACTAAACCACCCTCCTCGCACTCCTCACGACAATTTCCCCGACGTACCTTAAAAACCATCCACAGCCCGTCTTTTTCCATCGGCCGCGAATCGATTTGCAAACTCCGCCAAATCCTCGATTCGATCGAGAAGAAGCAAGTGTATAACCCGGTCCTCGTGTTTTTACGCAGTTCGAGCTCGCGACAAACAAGCCCCGCGACACGCTGCATTTACAATGCTATTTTTCTCCTAAATGGAACTTCTTCTGATATCGCGATCGTGAAGACCGGCTGGTCGAGCGTTTTTCCGATCCCGGTGGCGAAGCTGCGCGGTCCCGCGGACCGGAATGTCGGGCGAACCGATAAAAACCGAATCAAATATCCTACCGTTCGGCCCCGTGGTCCGGCCCCCCCGACTAATGAAAATACCCATTGTTAACCGGGCCTGGTTTTGCGCCGAGAAATTTTCGGCCCCAGTATCCCGGCCTCGTGTGGCATTTCACTGCCCGGACGTATTAGGCTGAACACGTAATTACTGCGAGTTTCTTTCCGCCCTGGTGTACGCTCTCCTATTTTGGACACGTCGATCGTTTCAATTGACTCCGATGCGATGGAAAAAGTTGCAAAGGTTGCTCTCGGTCAATGGCGTGATCGTTCTCTTTTTTCGTACGGCGGTCCAAGGGAGGGGTTGATAAAACGGAGATCGAGGTATCGTCGAGGATTGTAAATGAAAATTGTTCTCTTCGAAATTACTTCCGTGATAGACACGCGTCTTGTATTGACAGTGCGAACTTGTGATTGGACGAATTAGAGAAATTTCGAGTTGAATTTTTATAGAGAATTATGGGGATTAAGATTCTTGAAATTTTCTCGCAGATATCAGTCCTTATTTCAGAGTTCAATTTAATTGTGAAATAATTTTTGTGCGTCACCTCCCTCCTCGGTGATATTCACTCCACTTTTTTAACTTAAATTTGACTTTCCACAACGTTTTTTTACTTAAAAAGTGAAAATTTGCATATTCAAAATTTTGGTATAAGAGAGACGGTATGTAATAATTACAGGAAAGTAACGAATCGAAAATTACGCATTGGTCTTTACAATCACCTGATCTAAACCCTACGGAAAAAGTTTGGGAGCAATTAGATCGAAAAAACGGAGAAGTTGGTTTGGAAGATGAAAGAGGAAAAATTGTTAGCTTTTCTGGGGTGAGATCGTGGTTGAGGAGGAGCTTCGACGCGGAAGAGGAACCGTGGCCTCCGTTGGGAACGTCGAGGGCCCTGACAATCGCAGTCAATTGCCATTACGGGAAATTAAATCAGTCGTGCTTCTATTTACGCGGACCCTAATGTCGCGTAAATTGACCGACCACTGAGATAACACTCGAGCTTTCGATTGCAGAGATGGGAAATAGAATTGGAATTCTTAAACGATCCACAGAAGTCTCTTTCTTCTAAACCAAATGCGACAAAATTTTCTCTTACACCGTTCTGTGCTTTCATTCTTAAAAAATCTTCATTTATAATTATAAGTATATTATCATCAACGTGAACATTAACTAATTAAAGTAAGAAATGAATATTTTCTTCGTTCTTTAACTGGTTCTTCGAATTTTAACATTAACGGCTATCCAACATTAGTATTAACACTAGAACTACCAGAGTTGAATGTGCTAAATTATTTCCCAAAGGCAAAACTATACAAAAAACTTAGAAATTAGGATGATTAATGGAAAAAAAGTTGGCGTACATAATTATTTCTCTATTCCAACAAAAGTCACTATATACTTCAACAAAAGCATCTTAATAATTTCTGCAATTTAACTCGTGGCAGAGATTCTGCTCCTAATGTGACAAAAATGGTAATATTAGTAAGAAAAATTAATTATAATCCCAACTTTCCTTTTAATTTGTACGACCGGGCATTGCTGAATCTAATTAATCTGTAACAGATTAGCTTTTGTTACTTGATACAGTACTAAAACAGAAAATGGCTGACGCTTATATGCACAGTCAGAAAAGAAATCATAGGTTAAGGGGCTAAAGTAAGAATTCTGAAATCCGCCATTCTGATGGGTTTGCTGGTGTCCTAGCATCAAAAAAATTAAACTAAATAATCCATCATCTGACTGCGCTATCCAATCCCAAGATTCTCACCAGAATACACAATCATCTCGAAACTTCCTCACGCGAGGTGGCAAGGTGGTCCAGAAAGGCTACCGGAAACGTGCCGGTGCCTCTGTTTCGCGACGCTCCAAGGCTTGGCGCGATCTCGCTCGCAATTGACCTCGAAAAGGAGGAAGAAGGCTTGCGAGAGCTTCATTGAACGGACGTCGAGAGGGTCGATACCGCGGGGCGAACGGAAGAACGTGAAAACAATTTGAATCGCGGGCCGGTTGCATTCATTTGGGGATCGGTTTTGGAACGGTTTCTCCCTGATCCGCATTTAAGTTAGCCTCACGTTCGGCCGCAGCACGTGATCCAGCTGCTCGAGAGGAATCCCACGTATCCGTGACGTCACTCTATCTCGGCCCTGGTGAGCCAGGAGCGAGGTGCACGAGCCGATATACCGGCGTGAGCGCGAGACTTCTGTCTAGTCGCTGACTTATTAGGAATTCCGCTCGTCCCACGTGCAGAAATTCGGCTGCGCCACGTGCATTCGCCGGACGCACGTTCTTATAATTTGCGAGACGTCCATGGACTGCTTAAACCGACACACTGATCTTCTTTCTCTTTCCGTGCTCGGTTCTCCCGATGCTCATTGACTCTCGATCGAGACACACGCTTCGCTTCTCTCCTCGAGTCGAGCCGAGAGAGTAAGCGTCAAGGTGAAATTTCGGTCTTTCGTGTGTTGGATATTTTAGAGAAATTCTACGTTCTGTGTGTTTCGGCTGATTTTTATTTAACCCTTTCGTGAGTGAATTTTTTTTTTCTGAGGATTTGTTATTTATCCACTCTTAAAATTTGAGTCAATTTTTGTGAGTATTTAAAGGGTTAACTAGGAGGTCTTCTTTTTATTTATTCGTAGCATTGTCTTCTCCTCGTTTATTCCTAATATTTTCTGATTCATATATCTATCTGAACACTTCACAACGTTCAACAACACGTGTTCTAGACTTTTAATCCTTTTAATCTACGCTAAAAGGGAATTAGCCAGGATCTCCATTATCAAAATCCTTCACGATTTTAATCTCTCTTCTTGCACCATCGATAAACTCTCCCGGCTATCTAAAATGAAATCCAAGATTGTCCTAATAATCGAATATCACCGAAGAAATGACGTATGCTCCTTGCAAAAGAGAAAAGAGAAAAAATGAAAGCACCGTGTCCATCCTTTAATTTCTTTTTCACGGCGAGATATCTTTAATCTGAGTAACGATAAGTTTCATGGCAAGCGGTACCGTTTCTTACAGGAACGAACGATCAGCAACCTGCATCATTGCTATTAATCACGACATTATCATTTAATTGATACTCTCGCGGCATAGCGTATAATGGCAGAAAAATATGCGGAGCCCGCGTATTCTTTCGGCCGGTGCGCAGGAGAAGTGCTTTTTC